GGGGGGTTTGGAGGCAAGTAGAGCGTTTGCTAGTGCTGTCCTCAGACAATAAACGTAACTGTAGTATTCAGCCGGGCGAGTTTATCTCAGGAAGGTGGTGGGGGGCATTCACAGAGGAAGGAACCAGCGTGCGGGGATCAGCTCCACAGGTAGTAGAATCCTCTGTTAGATCCAAGGTATGAGCGATAACTGTGAAAGCTTTTGTACTGCAATGGTTTTAAAGAGGACCTGAACTGTTCATGGTTAGAGACAACTTTCAGGCTACGTCCACACTAGCCCGGATAGATTTGAAAACGGCGTTTTTTTGTCTGAAAACGCTCCACGTCTCCACTAGCGTTTTCAGTCGTTTTCACAAAGTTGTGCGTCCACATTGAAACGGCCGAAAACGCTTACGTTCCAGTCCTGCGCATGCGCAAAAGCGAGTGAGAATTAAAGAATTTGAAGAAAAGCTATCTGGAGCATGTACAAACTGATATTAATCTTTTTCAGGGCAATCAAAATTGAGAGCAATCAAAACAGCTGCTGTGTAATGCACTCCGCTATCTTGGGTTAATTGGTCACATGACTGCATCACATGACTAAAATGCGTCATCGTTTTAGAAAGTCTGCGTTTTCGAGTGACCACACTGCGACGGGACACCTCCGTTTTGAAATGTATGCGTTTTCGAGAGCGTTTCCAAAACGCTGCGTTTTTCCTTGAGGAAAACGCCGTCTCAGTGTGGACGGGAGGTCAAAAGAGAAAAGACTGCGTTTTCAAACCAAAACGCATTAGTGTGGACGTAGCCTCAGTGCACCCTGACTGACGTCTCTCCTCATGCATGGGAAATAAAGGTGTTTTTAATGGCTCATCTTGTCTGCAGCCTTTGTTAGTAAACTTCCACAACAAACGCCATTATTCCCATTACTGGCGATGATCGATCGATACTTTACACGACTGCATTTGATGCTTTGTGCTTTGTGATGTAAGGCTTGGATCCAGCTCATGGCCATTAAACCCTTTCATCAAACTGTCTACACACTGTTCTTGAGCTAATCTGAAGGCCACATGACATTTGGAGGTCTGTAGCTGTTTCTGTTGATCCCAATTCGTGACGCAATTTCACGAATGGATTGGAATACCTCAATTCAATGATTTGGATGGATGAATTTTGGCAATATAGTATATTTGCAAATGGCTGACCAAAACTCATTGTGGAGGATTTCTGCCCTTTTTTTAAGGATCCATTTCTTTAGTCAAAGCAGTAATACCACACAAATATGTTAACAAAGGTCCAAGCTCTCTTCTGATCTCCTCCTATCTTTTTCTCTACAGCTTGAAGGCCTGAGAAGCATAGTTAATGTTCTCCTCGGAGCTGTGGGAATTCAACCGGTACTAAACTCTACAAAAAGTTTGTTAGAGATTCACATATATTTCACCTTAAACTTCATTCATCATCAAACATCATTACATGAAAAATAAACTGTTAACAGCATTTTTATAATATACATAGGGTCTTTTGAAAGTGAAGCTGACTGAGGCTCCAATCATTCAAATCAGTAAGGCTGGACTCTCTGCCACTGTGGATATTGAAACACAATCTGAGGGTCAACAAAGTGTTCATGTGGTGAGCACATATGCAGATGCTGCGTTTAACAAATAAGCAAACTCTGTGCTGGTATTGACTCCGCATCAGACTTTATCTGCAGGTTTACTGTAAGAGCTGGGTACAAAACACAACCAATAAAGAGATAGTATGTTAGCTAACCTTGACACTACTTTATCACTCACTGCAGCCTGATGTTACTACTTACCAAACCACAACAATAAAAGAGTTATACAACACTCCTTGAAGTTAAAAGTAACGAGAAAGAGCATACATCAGACAGAAACACATTCATAAGCTACTGCAAATCAGCCTTCTAAGATTCGTTCAGTATGACCCATTGACATGTGTCTGAACATCCATGATACTCTGCAGAAAAGAGCAGCTCAAAGATAGCTCTGATGGTTTTACTGTGAAAGTTTGACTAAATGTAAAAAATCGACAACTCACACAGCTGTAACAGCCTACTGTCAGACTCTTTCTGTTGTGAATATCTATATGGAAACCCCTGTCTGAGCTGGCTGAAGCTACCACAGAGTTTGAATGCGAGTTACTTGGAAGTGTGACTCAACCACATATGCAGAAATGATCAAACTTTGTTTTTCTGTAGTCCTGCAAACTTGATATGAATGTCAAATTTGAAGCAAGCCGCCTCATTCCGGTCGTTAAAACACCAAAGTAAGAACACAAATACACACTCACATACTTTATGGTACACTCTGTATATACATTTGTACTCTGTACTATTGTATATTGTAATAATTTACAGTGAAACCTTTTCAGATGTAATGTTGAAACTCAAAAGATCATTGGAAAAATTGTGGTAAGAAGACAATTCTCTAGTAGATTACAGCCATTTCTCCATAGCAGTAGACATGATAATAACAAGTGTGTGTGTCTGTCTGTGCAGGTTGGTGCTGCTAAAGCCATTTTGTACTTCGTGGACAGTAAGCGCTAACATACAAAATGATACAAACTCACCTGATTCTGCTGATATTTTATTACAGTTTGAACTGGGTGTGTGTGTGTGTGTGTGTGTGTGTGTGTGTGTGTGTGTGTGTGTGTGTGTGTGTGTGTGTGTGTGTGTGTGTAGAGTGGTTTTTTGAAGGAATACCCATCCCTCTTCCTATTGACCTGAGCTTCATTGATGCAAAGCCCCAATTTGAGGAAGTGAGTGACTTTGATTTCCTTCTGGCTGAACACTAACGTGCAAAACATTCAACAGTCCTCTACACCACACCAAAACTATCACAGTTAAAACATGCTGAGTCATCATTTATTCATCTGAGGTTCCATGATGAATATCAGTTTGATTTAGATCCATGCTCAATCATCGAGGTTAGGAAATCCCAGAAAGTTGATTCTGCTCATCTGGACAAAATCTGAAAATTCAACATCCAGAAATCTGGAATTTCTGAACTAACTGCTACCACTCAGTATGTAGCCTGTTTGTACCCAATACTACCTGTTACTGCCTTTTATTGCAGGGCTATCTGGTGGTGGGAGGAAGCCTGAACTTTATCCCTCTGCAGAGCAGCAGCAATACTGGCGGATAAACAACAAAGGCTGAAATATGGACTTCACGATCCTCTGTTGTTCTTTATGCTAGATATAAATTCTGTGTTTAAACAGCTTAGACAGTTAAATCTATCAGATTTACTGGATATACTGCACGTACTGCATATACTGCCTGTTTCTATGATTTTGTTTTTGTCTGCAATAAAAGTTCCAGCATCACAGAGACTCAGGTGTTATTGCTGAGAAAAATCATCTGTAATCCTCTAGTTTTTCCGTACGGCATCCTCTTCATCAGTAGAGGAAACACACACATTCATGTAAACAATGCAACACACACTGTATGTGCTCTTGCTGTATCAACTGAGGGCTTTTCGGGGAGCTTTTAGGACATCCTGATAATAATGAATTACAGTAATCCAGTGTAGAAGTAATAAATGCATGAACTGCGCTGCTCGGGTTGCCTAGCAACCATTGATTAACCGCGAGAAACATTTCATACAGCATTGTTTGACAGAAATGAAGGAGAAAAAATGTTTTTTTTTTCATTCATTTTTTTATGACATCACTTTGATTAGTTGAGTATCTGAGGCTGAGACCACGGGACTGTAAAACATGATTGTTGGGCTTCATTTCTGTACTGAACAGTCATTTAAGATTAGTTAGTAAATAACAATTAGTTAATGTTGTTCATGAGACTAAAATCATCTCACTGTGGTGATGTAAATATAATATGGCCAATATTATAGTTATTATATTAATTATGATTTATTACAGCAGTGAACTTGAACTGTGTCAAATACTGAGCTTCAGTAAAGATTCAAGTTGCATTTACTTATGTCCTATCACCTTAAATCTTCACTCAAAGACAAGTATCTTTGACAATGTATGTATAGATGTATTATACATAAGAGATAAATATTGTTCTTTTAATATGTTGGCATTATGACATTTGGCTCAATGCTTACATATATGTGTAAAAAAGAAAATGTACGAGCTGTGAAAACTGTTTCTGATAAAATGAAGAGTAGACTGATATATGAAATATTCCTTTATTGGGTGAGAAAATCAGACCATGTCATAACTGCTTTAAGTCACACAGAATAGATATCAGAGCCTTAAACAGGCTGACTTCTGCTAAATGGGTCAAACTGGGCAGAAAGTATCCAAACACATAACATCCTTATAGAATATGATGTAACACTATAGATCAACTTACCTCAGAATATATAAAGCATATAAACAATTACAGCAATATGATGCAACAAACACAGCAGTGCTACTAATCCAAAATACTCAAAGCTTCATAGAACTGGAACAAACATTTATTTTTAGCTCCATTCTGCTGCTGATACAGACTTTAGGTTTCTGAACATTAAACTTGTTGCTGCCTTTCATAGTGTGTAACTTGAAGGCCCTGAGTACTTTCTCCCACACTGGAAACACTGGAATGATAAAATTATTTGAACATTACCTAATAAGACTGATTCAGGACAGACAATTTATTTTAAACTTTTCCAGCAGTCCTTCACAAACAGGGAACAGTCTGTCTATTCTCTCCATCTGTCAGCTGCTGCTGGCTCTTCCTCCTCCTCTTATGTCTGTCTAATCATGATACTGTATACATATATAGTGAAACACGCAACGCATACAAATCCTGAGGACCATGAAATGTAGTCAGTTATAGCCACTCGCATTCACTTCATCAGTGAATTGGAGTGAACATTTGTCCTAGATTAACATTGTAATGTCTTTACCTTACAATATAAAGGGACTTAGTCTCAGTCTGTGAAAGTAAAAACAATGTTGTTCAAAAAATGCTTATAGTGCCTGGTGTGAGTGCCACTGTAAAGTGCTTTGAGAGGATATCACCAGCAGGTGGAAGCCCAGGAGATGCAGTCAGACCAACAACACACAAGGCCTTCACTGTGACCTCTGACCTTTAATAAGGGAAAAACAAAAATGAGAATAATTATAAATATGAGCTGATAGAGAGCAAATAGTTAACAATTACAGTAGATCAATACACACAAGAAAAGTAAAACAATCACTGAATATTTAAAAAAAGAGCTGCGTTCTCTCTTGAAAGCCAGCAGACACTAAATATCAAAAACAGTCAACAAATTTAAAAAAACAAATTGAGGTCCATAAATAAATATGTGTCTTGTTCATTTGAGCAGCCTCGCAGTGTTAAATCAGACCTCCCAAGCTCTTTTGACTGCATATTGTTCAGAATGCGGCTGCTCGTCTTCATACTGGTACTGGGTTGCGTGTTTATATTACCCCCATTCTTGTCGACCTGCATTGGCTCCCCGTTTAGTATCGTATTCAATTCAAAATCCTGCTGCTCGCCTTAAGAATTATTAACAAAATAGCGCCAAGTTACCTCACTGAACTACTTAGATTATACACCCCTGCTAGAGTACTACGATCATCTTCCCAGTTACTTTTGGTACAGCTTAGATTCCGGCTGGAGACTGGAGGTGAGCGCGCGTTTGCCTTGGCTGCACCTGATCTGTGGAATAACGTCCCCATTGCTAATCATGAGTCTGACTCTATTCAATCCTTCAAATCTCGGTTAAAGACCTATTTATTTAACCTCGCCTTTTCTACCAGGTAATGCTTGTTTGTTATTAGTTTAATGCTTGTTGCTACGTTCGTTCTGTTTTTAACTGTGTTTAATTATTTTTACATATTAAATACATTTCTTTTACACATATTGTTCTATTATGTTTTTATATGTATTTCTTTTGTCTCTGTGTTTTTAGTGCCGTCAACCTGCTAGCATGTTTGGTACTTTGCCGTGTCCTTCATCTTTCTCTACTACTTATGTTTGACCCTCTCGTATGTTAAACACTTTGGTATACCACTGGTTTTTAAATGTGCTACATAAATAAAGTTTGCTGTTGTTGTTGCATATTAGAGAGAAAAACCTGCAGCGAAGCTTCTTTAAATCTGAGTCATGCACAGTGATCTTTGTGTCATTAAAATGTCTCAAATGAGTAAAATCACAGAATAAATGTTGGAAAGTTTCCCCTGATAATAAACTGCTGTTGGCCGTTGCCTTCTCTCTTTCTCTCTCTATCTCTCTCTTGTCAAGTCTCGGAGTAGTCGTAACATTTAAATGACTTCCTTTGAGAGCAACAACAGATTTCCCCATCATTGATTTTCTGGGTCTGTTACTTCCCTGTTCTGCTGAATGACAGAAACAAATAGTTTAAAACTCTGTCTTTGGCTCATCATTTTTCCTTGACTTTGAAAGGAAAACATCAGCAGGTACTAAAATGTGACATCGTCAGACTGCATGCCACCCATTGGCTGGTCAGTAGAAGCAATCGATGAGTCATGAGAGCGAAAATCCAAACCGCTATTTTTGAAATCCGGTGTTCTGCCAAAAAGTGATCATCTGCCAAAAACAGATTTTCGGTATGTGCCAAAAAGTGATTGTCCATATTTAAATTAATGTAAACGACATATAATATATGAAACATATTACAGAGGCATATAAATGTATTCCTCATGGGTGAAATCAAGTCATCTTGAGCCACAAACAACATTCCTGTCAGTAGGTAGATGCTGCAATCAGCTTTTGGCAAAGTGACGTATCCTTTATTTGTCCACTTAATTGGTCTTATTTAAATAGAAAATGTATTTTTAAGAGTAATCTGGCCAAGCGGACATCAGAAATCCCCACAAAAAATATAACAATACCTCTATAATGATATTTTAAAAGGCCAAAAAGGACCGGATTGGTTATAATGTAGGTAAACAAGGAATTTTTAAAATGGGTGGGTCGTTCAGTAGGCTGTTCAGTGGATCATTTAGTCAATGGGGAGGGGGTGTGGATTCCTATTCATTTCCTATAGTGGTCACTTTGATCGGGAACACCACAGATGTAACAAGGTTGATAAAAAAAATTCGAATTTATGAATTTTTGTTGTAAAGTTTTAAATCTGTTAGATTTGACCAGAACAAAACATAATATAGTTCTACATTTATAATCAACAGTGATGTGAAACAACTACAACTCTGAATCTGATTCAGTTTGTAGTTTGCAAGCTTGAAATCATATCGTGGATCAGCTTCAACTGCTAACACTGTACTCTCATCTCTTCCGTCTCTCAGGGAAAAGACCTGAACGGCATTGAGTCAAACACATTTCAATTTGGATTCTTACAAAGTGAAAATGGGATTTACTATTTTTATTTTTCAATTAATTAAATTAATTAATTTTACCATTTGATCTGAGTTTGTTTTACTGATTTTTTTCAATATTTATGTTTCACCCTTCACGGTTACAGAGTGACTAACCAGACACATCAGTGCCAGACAGCAGGCACATGTGTGTCTAACCTGGCCCGCTTTGGGACCTTATAACTCAGTGATGACTCTGGAAATGTTGTGTGAGCTGAGGTTGGTCTAAAATGAGTGTTGTTTGGGCCAAATGTGACACAAATGTCACAACACAACATCAGTCACCTCATTTGTTGCTTTATAAATAAAATTGAATTGAATTGTAAAACACTAGGAAAAGAAAAAAAAGAGCCAACAACACAGGTAACAAATGTCTTCGATTTGTTACCTGTCTTAATGGCACCTGTTTGAACGTGTAATCAGTCCAGCTATCCGCAACCTCAAACAGTGACACTACAAACTCCACTATGGCCAAGACCAAAGAGCTGTCAAAGGACACCAGAAACTAAATTGGAGACATTCACATGGCTGGGAAGACTGAATCTGCAATAGGTAAGCAGCTTGGTGTGAAGAAATCAACTGTGGGAGCAATTATTCAAAAGTGGAAGACATACAAGATCTTCTTGTCACGTTCAGGTCACATCTGACCGATTTACAATTAAAACAATCATAAATATTGTGTTTTACATCTGATTGCCTCAAGGCCTAATGATATCCTCCACACCATGAACTTAAACATATGAAAGTGATGATCACCTCTTTCATTGAATTTTGAGTGTTTTAATCAACCTTGTTACATCTGTGGTGTTCCCGATCAAAGTGACCACTATAGGAAATGAATGGGTATCCACCCACTCACTGACTGAACAATCGACTGAATGACCCACTGAATGACCTACAGAACAACTCCCACTGAACGACCCCAGTGAAAGGCCCACTGAACGATCCACTGAACGACACCCACTGAACAAAAA